GGTACTTGAACTGCACACTTGGCTCAATCCTTGACTATGTTGGAAATGATGAGAATTTACTGTTGGGGACCATGAAACGTCTATTCAGGGTTGTCAGTTGATTGCCATGGCTTTTCCAGTGACAGTAACTGGACTCTTATAACATCAATCTTCAAACTTTTCATTTTGGTTTGGTTTCTAATAAACCTCAATGGTTTGGGGGAGAAATTCAGTTTTCATAAGAAAAGTATAATCATTATTTATAAATGTCCAAAATGGGGCAACTACATGAGTTGGGTGTCCTTCATTAGTACAAATAGTTAACTATATCTCATCCCAAATAAATGAAAAAACACACTAATACAAGTTATTGGAGTACCCCAAAAAAATGAAACTAATACAAGTTATTGGAGTACCCTTGATATTTCAACTTATCATAACTGACAGTATCAGTGGATTACCATTGTTTCTTTGGGGAGATGAAGATCATGACATTCATTCCCTATTTATGAGGAGAAAGCAAATTAATAGATTTCCAAAGATTACTTTGTTCCAAAATGATTGAAATTCTTATGAACGACGACAGATTGCGAAATTTATTTTTACGATGAAATTGAATACTTCCAATGCACATTTCAATATGGTCCATTCATCGAGCTATTTCATAGTAATTTTCTCAGTATTCTCGTCTGACTCCCGTGTTTTGGTCATTACAATTCAAACTGGGAGACACTCAATGTTGCACCGGTTCAAACCCAATTAACCCACCGGGAAAAGAAATAAAAGACCTCCCTTGCTGTTGAGCTCTTAGAAAAACATTCATTTATTTCTTAGAACCACTTTGGATTACAGATATCTATTTGTAAATTGCAGGCTTATGTGCTACAAGAGAAGGGTAACCTCCTAGAGCTAGTGGACCTAGAGTTGGGGTCAAACTATTCCAAAGATGAAGCTCTAAAGATGCTAAATGTGGGCTTACTGTGTACAAGCCCTTCTCCCACGCTCCGCCCTTCTATGTCAGCCATTGTGAGCATGCTTGAAGGAAATGCCAATGTGCAGGCCCCACTACCAAGGTCTGGCTCTACAAGTGAGGAATGGAGGTTCAAGGCTTTTATAACTATTTCACAAGACAGCCAGAGCCAGACTTTGTCCACAGAGGGCCCAACAAGTGGATACTCTGGGCCATGGATTGCATCCACTGTTCCTCTCTCTAGCAAGGAAGAAGTGAGCACAAAAAGCCACCTACCTCATCTTATAGATATTAGTGGAGATTAGGTATATGTAGGGAAGTCTCTTGAATGCTTTTGTCTTGTTATCATCATTTTGTAAGATATGTTGTAATTTGTTGTTTATTATTGTAATGTTGGCTTTAGTCAGAATGATAAGAACTAGTGATAGATGCTTTATCTTCCCCCCCAGTTTTGCCTTGTCGATATATGTATTAAATTCTTCTGATGGCTGATTGTAGTTTTGGAGGCTTTGCATGTTCTCACTCCCCACCAATGTATTTTTGTTATCATCACCTGATGTGATTATTTGGGGTTTTATGGTGTGCCATGCATATGGTTTATTATAATAAAACTTCAAAGAGATGAAATACAAAGTTTGCAAGATATGACACTCTGTATGAAAAATGTTCGATTTGGAAATAGCAGAAAGAAGATGAAACACAATACCTATAAAAGCATTTTAGTTTCTTCGAAATGAAGGGTACATAGAGAGGCTTGGAGGTAACAAAGAAAAGCTAAAGATCAATAGGAGAATCAAATTTGTGATATTTAAAATGATGGGATGAAGAAAACATTTTTCTTTATAGTGTGATACAATAAAGAATCCAAATACCAAAGAGCTGGACACATCGCGACATAAGAAGTGAATACGAATATATTATCCATCAATTGTGTGTTCTTCCAATATAGCTAAACGATTGTAAATGCAATGAATCAAGAAAGACCAGGTACCACACTACATGATTTTACGGTATGAAATTTATCTCATATTACAAGATAAGGTCATATATGGAAAGAAGATTCAGTAACTTTTTATATGCTCTGGTTATAAATTTTGGCTAATTGTTTTATGAATATGTATGGAGTATATGGACATTGAGTGATATGTGCTAACAAATTTGAAAGAGTCTGTTTATGAATACCATGTGTTATGGTGTCTCATTGTGCTAAGAGCGCGAACTATTTAAGGTAATGATACACATATGATTTGATCAAGGGCTTTGAGCACAAAGTATGAGAAACGAGACATAGGTATGACTCATTCAAATATGTAAGCACGAAGGGAGTGTTCTAATGGAACTTAGTCTAAGTGACCATTCTCCCAATAATGTTCAGTAATATGATGTGTTGTGTTGCATGTAATGATGATCTCTTCATAATGCCTTCATATTTACCAAAAAATGAATTTTTGTATAGATTTTGATAACCATTCTTTAGTCATGCATTGTTTTAGATATAATTGTAGTATGAACTTTATGGCTTGTTTTTGTAGCTGTAAACATGACTTGGTAGGTAAATGCGGTAAAATAATTTTTGAAGACTAAACATATATTTTAATATTAAATTGGATATTTTGAGAAAAACATGAGTCTTTATAAAAGAAAATCATTTTAACCGTCATACTATTATCTAACCATTGCTTGTGATATATATACCATGTCATTTTTTTTTTTTCAAGGGAGAAAACCATTATGCCTTCAAGGTATTTATAAAATTTGGAGAAAAACTGTCATGCATAGGCTTTTAAATACCTATATGCCTTGGACTCATATTTGTAGTTATTTAGAATCCTCTATTACCTAAGACCTTGAACCATAGGGAAAGTTATAGGAATGTCATATTGCTAGAGTTCCTTCACACATATTATGTTAAATAGATAACTTGGTTTGTATGAATTTACCACCAAGATGACTAATGTAGTTGAACCTTTTTGTGGTTCATAAAGGTTTTACTTATTGTGAAACTAATGGGCATTGAATTACACTTTGCATGAGACTTGCTATGCTATTTCATGATATAGGCATAAGAATGTTGAGATTGTATATATTGTATGTGCAATAATTAAGTAGGAGCTGCTGTAGTCCCACATTTTTTTTAACTGCTTGGATATTCAGATATACAAATGCAAGCTATCTCAAGAATCTAGATCATACAAAGTCTACATCTGGATATATGTTCATGCTTGGAGGGAGAACAATTTCTTAAAAATGAAAGAAACATGATACGGTGACATTATCCATCCTAAAGGCAGAATACATGACGTGTTATTTGGTGGCCAAAGACGACTTATGGATTAATAAATTTCTTAATCGATTTAACTTTCAAACCGTGCGTTGTGAGGCAGTTAGGATTTTATGTGACAACATGTAGGCGATATGCATGTCAAAGGGAGCCACGATTCCATAATAACTCAAAGCATATAAAACTAAATATTCCAGTGAGAGTTCTTAGTGTTTGACAAACAACAGATTATGACATTGTTCACCCATGGAATCCAGATGTGTGGAGCTGATTGTATGGCTACAGAAAGAAGCGGCTTGTTTGAAGAACTCTTTTGAGCCCATGAGGATATGACCCCATGTGATGAGGATATGTGATGATCTTCCGTGACAGTAGGTCCATGATTCGCGATGCAATATGAAAGATGGACTACCACCACTTTCAGGATGAGATCCGAATAGCAAAGAGAAAGAGGTGTGACATTTATGAGTTCTTTTGTAAAAAGATTGATAGTAAAAACCATGATTCACGTATTGAGAGAGATTGTGATTGGGAGAGGCAGATAGGGATGAGAGAAAATGAAAAAGAGATAATGTAAGACCTTCAAAAGCCAAGTGGGAGATCTTGGGTTTATGTGGCCTTTAAAAGCATTATGAGTGATTGTGATGAGACATTTGATACAGTGGATCATGGACTCAATGAGAGTGCAGTCCCTCATAGACGATACCATACAAACGAGGTTTGCAGATACCGAACAGTGCTTGACAGTCTTGACCAGTCGATTCGAAAAATCCAATATTGCCTGGGTATAAAAAATAAACCGAGAAGGGTTCTAGTGGGTTATCCCTTGATGAGGTTGGAGTATATCCAGATGAGAGAGCCGAATGACTGTGTGACCCTTGTGTGTGATGGTGGCCTATGCAGACGGGTGCCAAATCCTCATCCATGTACCATCACACGGCATGCATATTGATAGACCGTTGGGGAAAGTGGGCAAGCCACCTTTTAGGGTGAAGCGTATGCATGTACGAGAGATACACTTATGCGTCATAGAGTTGTGGTCGCATCAAGTCTAAGTAACCTTGACTCGTCTCTAAAGGGAGAACCTGAAATCCACAGATTGATATTGCAATCCCTTGG